CACAAAGTAGGAGATCATCCACATACTAAAGTAGGACAACTTCTGGGTGGTCTGTTTGCCATGGGTCCAGGATGGAGCACATGGCTTTAGCAAATTGACTTGGAGAATTTTGTGCCCCTTGGGGCATGACAGTCCATGTATACTGTTGCATTTCATGAGTGAAAGCAAACAGGTATTGGCAAGTCGGATCCAGTGGAACACTGAAGAAGGCATTAGCCAGGTCAATGACTGTGAAGTATTTTGCAGATGGTGGAACTCCAGATAGCAGAGTGTGGGGGTTTGGTACAATAGGGGTGTCCAGGACAGTTGCTTCATTGACAGCTCTGAGGTCCTGGACCATTCTGTACTTCTCTGGTTCCCCTTTTGGTGTTTTCTTCTTCACAGGAAATAATGGGGTGTTGCATTTTGATTCACACTTCACAAGAGCACCTTTCTCCAAAAGTGCTTTGATTTGAATTGAAATAGCTGCAGCCCGAGCTGGCTTTAGAGGATATTGTGGTTTTCTTGGTAATTTTGCTCCTGGAATGAGCTTTACCACCACAGGTGGAACTCTCAGATGACCTATGTCTTCTGGGCCTTTGGACCATAATTTTGCAGGTACCTTTGTTTTGATGATATCCGAAAAATTAGACCTCTGCTCTTTTGCTTCCCCACGGGGTTCATCTAAATGCAGCACTAGAGGTAGGGAGCACAAAACTGAGGTATCTGATTCAGATAGGGGAGTAGACAATTCTACTTGACCTTCTGGGGTGAAGGTGATAGATGCCTGCAGGCGCGAGAGGACATCAGCACCTAACAGGTTAATTGGGCATGTGGAGGATACTACAAATCGAGCAAGCAAGTTTGGGTAATTGCCAACTCGCAATGGGGTTGTTAAAGGACTGTGCCTTGGTTGGCCATCCACTCCAACACAAGAGACATCTATTTCTGATAGGAATGAGGCATCTGGCGGGTCTTGTTCTCTCAGAACACTTCGGGCTGCACCTGTGTCAACTAAAAATGTGGTTTCTCGTCCTTCAATGGGTAAAGTCACAGTGGCAAGTGGCCCCCCTTGTTCCCTGTAGACACTGCCATGGCAGGGGCATTAAGCATCAGCGGGTTTGCTCTCCTCTGTATGGGCTGTTACTGACTCAAACCCCTTTCTATGTCATTAGCCATAGCTTTTTGCAGTCTGAACATGTCTATCATTATAAATAATGGTTAATAGTAAGTGAAGTAAAGTTCCTATATGTCTTTGGATAAAACATTAACTATTGCGGTACTATCATTTATATCAATTAGACTATAACAATTATACCACCCTGTAACTAAAATTAATAACCAGTAGTGGCTGGGTTAATAAAACATGTCACAAACCCTTCTAATGCTAAACCATCATTTAACGTAAAGGATGTTACTGTAAACCCACGATCTGTAACTAGCAAGATTCGATTAAGTAAAGATACAATGTTTAAAATAACTTGCATTATTTGGCTATTTCCCTTGTTGCAAGATTAATCTGGATAATCAGCTGTTATGCTCTTATATTCGTGTCCAACAGATCTCATTTGTAGGTCACACCACAGTTGCAAATGACATTTTAGCAACCTTCTTTTTTTTTTTATATCACGGACACATTGTTGATACAGGGAAACAAATGGCATGATTGTTTTAGTAATTATAATGTTTCTGTTCATAATATGTAGAGTGTAAGGAAAACAACATGTCTCTAAATGGGACGAGCATAATAGGGGTAGGCCTCATGATGGAGGCAGCCATGACAGGGGCGGGGAAGGAAATGACAGCAAGGGAGGAAGTGAGAGGGGTGACGTCCATGATATGTGTGGGAAAGGAAGACAGGAGGTGTGGGCATGGTAAGGGCGGAAGTGACGTCACTTTAGAAGCAACCGTGACTGTAGATAGGTCACGGGACTGGCAGGGTCAACCTCCTTCTGTACTAGGCGCCATCTTTAGGGTGGTGGCTGATGCACTTTCAACAATACACTATATTATAACTATTAAAATAAGTCAGAGAAGCAACATTCCGTTCTGCAAAATGAAATACTAAACTATGAACAGACCTGGCAGGTTAAATAAGACAGTTGAAAACATTATGCATTTAACAGCCCATACAGCTGTTTCTAGAAACATGTACTTTAAAATAACTTTAAAATAATAAAATGATGCAAAATAAACTCGCGGAATTCAACCAATTTCCCTTATCTTCCTCAAACCATTAATCACTTTCCTCCTCTTATACTGACTTAACAACATCGCATATTCCCTCTACACCTTCCTAAATCCCGTATTCAACACTGAATGCAATCTTGTGAGCTCGTCACTCCCACAATCCTCAGTACCTTATACTCTTATCAGTAGAAATGCAGGCAAGCGGGGAGGAGAGGGGGGGAGAAAGTTAGACAGTGCAAAAAAGGGAGTGAAGCTGCAGGCATGAAGATTAACCATGTGAGTGCTGGAAAGTAACAAGACAGAAGGACAGAGACTTATACGTTTGGAAACCAGAAATCTTTGACGGGAGAAATGGACTGGAGGTGCAGGGAGCTGCAGAGAGAGGATGAGGGTGACGAGATCTGTAGGACTGATGGGGGGGGGGGAAGAATAGGGATCCATCAGCATCCAGTAACACAATTATTATGATATACATACAGTTCTTAACCCTTTATGATTTATCTCTTCCTCTACCCAACCCTCCTGCTGGATAGCCTTTCTACTCTGTACCATGCTTCAGCAGTACGCAATAAATCATTATCTGTAAGCTTGCCTTTCTTCTCTGTCAGTAATCTACGCCAACTTTCTGGTTGTAATCTACCACATGAAGGCACAGCAATTTTACACACTTTAGCAATCTTTGCAACATTTTTAACCAGTTCTTCACCTTCTCTATCTTCAACTAAATCACACGCGAGCCAGCCCCTAGCGGGCTTACTCGTTTCCTGTCCCATATCCCCCTATACAAAGCGTCCCAAGTATAGGTAAAGGAAAATGAAACAGAACGTCTACAATGCTCGACTGCCACTAGGTAGGGTGGGTCCCTCCCAGTGCGTCTTCCCAAAACGTAGACCAGTCACTGAATCCGTGTACCCTCGATGGTAACCACGGATTGGAGCGGGGTGAGAAGTGTGTGACCAATCACTTCTCTTTCAAGAGAAATAGGAGTGGATAGTGTAAATAGTACAGGAAGTAAAGTAAAAGTAAACAGTGAAAGTAGAGACAGACCCAGGAGTTTGAATGACTCCACACTTAAGACAACATTTAATACAACATTTCAATTGAAATACAGTGCATGCATCAACAGTAATCCCTTTCCTTTACTCTTGTGGCCACCAAGGCCACCTCCCTCAATCTCGTAGTGTCCCCGCTCGGAGAACAACTTTCGTAAGTTTCACTACCAGCGGCCAAGGATAACGACTAACACCGGCCCGAAATCCATATGCCTCCCTCGTTACAGCAGTCCACTAAGTGTGGCCACCTCTATCCTCACTCCCGTAGTGCTCCCTATGGACCCACCCACAAGTCACACTACCCCGTGGTGATGGAGACAACAATGCCTGCCCGAATCCACACACCACAAATAAATTGGAATGCCACCAGCCTCAGCGCTCGAAGCTGGAGGGTACCATAACCTCTGCAAGCAGAGCAACGTACACAATGAGGCTAGCTAGAATATCAAAGTGACGTAACCGGGAAACCCCAGGAGGCAAGTCCCCTCCACAGATCCCCCAACCCTTCTTTTTCCTTACTACTGTTAGCTAGACAGTACCTAAAAGAAGTAAACAGGAAAACAGGACCCCTTTGGAAAATCCCCACAGGTCCACCCCCCCTTTTTTCCCAACAGTCTGGGCCAAGTGACTCCTAAAAAGGGGTAAAAACAGGCAACAGAAGACCCCCAGGCAACCACCCACGGGTCCACCCCCCTTTATCCCAAAAGAGGGAAAGAACAAAACATATACCACTAGCACACCCAGGCAACAGATAGACTAAATGCAGGTAAACAAATGGGTAACAAGACACCGGGCAAGATATTACCTGTCTTTGATGCCCTCCCGGGAAGCAGTCACAGACACGTGGACGGGTCAATCAAAGGGGCTGGAACATACCGGTGGCTCCTGCAGAAGTCTCTACCGTGTACTCAGAGGTGATCAGTCTCTCTTCCTTCCCCCCTGATTCCTCCGTCCAACAGCGTCTTCCTTAGGACGGCTTACCGGCCGGAGGCCATAGCCCGATGCCCCACGTTGGATGGACGCCAGATTGATGTAGATTAATTTAGAAATAAACAAAAATGTTTAAAAGTCTATCTGTTCCTGTCCAAATCTGAGATGAATAAATTGCGTATACGCAGAAGTAAGTTCACACTGACACATGCAGTTCAGGTTAAAAACACTTCAGGAAATTTATTAGCATCTAGTTAAAAGCGGCACGCAGGCCTTTTTATATGCAAAATGACATCATCATTGAATATCAGATAATAACAAATAAACATCATTAATTGGGTTAAATGTTAAGTGGCTATGTCAGTGTCCACCCATTAATATTATTAATTGCCTCAGAGATTTGAGTGACTAGTGAGGCACCCTCCCATCATGGGATGTCGTCG